TGCTTCCCACCCGTGGCCTACCAGTGCCTCCCAGTTCACTCCCAGTACCTCCCAGTTTGCTTCCAGGGAGGTCCCTGGGCCAATCAGCACCTCCCTGCCTCACCCCCAGCTCTCACTCTCCCTCCCAGTGCCCCCAGTGTCCTACCGCTTCCCACCCACGGCCTCCCAGTGCCTCCCAGTTCCCTCCCGGGAGGTCCCCTGGGCCACCCGACACCTCCCCGTGTCACCCCGTGTCCTCCCACTTCTTCCTCTCCCTCCCAGTGCCCCACAGCTTCCCACCCACTGCCTCCCAGTGCCTCCCAGTTCCTTCCCAGTACCTCCCAGTTCCCTCCCAGGAGGTCCCAGCACCACCCCGTGGCCTCCCAGCTCCCTCCCAGTGCCCCCAGTGACCTACCACTTCCCACCCACGGCCTCCCAGTGCCTCCCAGTTCCGCCTCATTCCCCCCCAGTGGCCCCTGGTGCCTCCTTGCGTCACGCCACCTCCTCCCGCTGCCTGCCCAGTCTTCCCAGTAGCCTCCAGTTCCCCTCCAGTGCACCCCAGTTCCCCCCAGCTCCCTCTCAGTACACCCCTCAGCACCTTCCAGTTCCCTCCCAGTACCTCCCTGGTGCCTCCCAGTACTTCCCCATTCCTTCCCATGTGCCACCAGTGTGCTCCCAGTGCCCCCAGTTCACCTTCAACTCCTTCCCAGTTCCCTCCCAGTCCCTTCCATTACCCTCCTGCAACCTCCTCATTCCCTTCTATACTCCACCAGTGCTCCCAGTTCTTCCCAGTTCCCTCCTTGCACCTTGCAGTGTTCCCCAGTACCTTCTCTCTCCCTCTTACCCACACCAGTATGCTCCCAGTCCCCCCAGTTCACTGGTGGCTCCCTCCCAGTACCAGGTCCATGCCACCTATTGCCTCCCAGTGCTTCCTCTTCCCCTCCCACTCAGACCAGTATGCTCCCAGTGTCCCCAGTTCACCTCCAGCTTCTTCCCAGTGCCCTCTCAGTCCTTCCTGGGACCTCCCAGTGCCTCCCAGTACTCTCCCAGCACCCCTTAGCTCTTCCCATTTCCCTCCCAGTACCCTCCACTTCACTCCCAGTGGCCCCCACTGCTCTCCCAACACTTCCTAGTGCCCTCCCAGTGCCCTCCCAGAGGCTTCCCAATGCCTGCCCAGTGTCCCCCAGCACCTCCTAGTGCCTTCCCAGTGCCCCCCCAGCACCTCCCAGTGCTCACCAGTGCCTTCCCAGAACTTCCCAGTGTCCCTCAGTGCCTTCCCAGCACTTTTTAGTGCTCCCCAGTGCCCTCCAGCACATCCCAGTGCCCCCCAGTTCCCTCCCAGCTCCCCTTAGCACCC